ATCTTGACACATGTACTGATTTCGATGTTATCTGTGACAAACTAATGAAAAGTATGCAATTTACATGCATCGCATATGCGGTCTTCTAGCAGGAAACAAAACGATGGATGCTCTCACTGTAAATGGTAAGCATCCTGTGATAAGATATTAAGTTATTGCCAGCTGAAAGGAATATAAACGTGTGCAGTTGATATAAAGTCCGATTCGACATCCGTCAATCGTCGGGTAAGCTCTCCTCAGCCCGGTCCATGCCATTGTATCACTGTAAACAAAATTATCGACGTTGTCCGATGTAGATTTTAGCTACGATAGATTGTTTCGAACGTATACAGTAGAACCCCTACTAGATCATACCATTGGGTCGATAAAACATTAGGTAGAAAGAGATTAGGTAGGTTGGAGGAGTTGGTTGGTCACGTGATTTACCTCTCTTGCCCAACGTCGGGCCGGAATCGTTTGGTTCACGATAGGTTTTTTTTTAGCTAATTGTGTATCAGCTAAGAGGGGTTCTACTGGAGTAAGCATCGCACATGCGTTTTTTTGTCTGCCATAATTGAGTGAAATTTCTATTTCTGCATTCTCTGTTGAATTTGTTACGATCCCATTATACAATAACATTGATGAGATTTGCCAATATCCAATACGTTCCAATTTTTACGAAACTTTTGATGAACGATGGTTCATATCCAAGCGGCACTTCATCAACTTCTATCGTTTAATTGTATGTTCACATACGGTTTATTTCTGACACATGATGCCAAAGTGAGACGTGCAAACAGCTGCAATTCATTCCTAATGAAATCGCTACGGATTTTATGATCTTGTGTGATGTTAAATAGTCTTAAACTTTCAATTTCAGTACATTTTCGATACGCAGAATATATGATCATTGAACTTACCACACTGGGTATTCTACTTTAGAGTGAATGATATGTACGAACGATATATGTCATACGAGTGCGTCCATAAAAAATATAGAGAAGATTTGAGGTACATTATGGTACGCAAACGACCAACTACATTCGCCTTTGTTAGCCGCTCTCCGGCGATATGCAATCGTACCGCTCCTGCGCGGGTATCGGTTCACGTAGTAACTTCCGTTCCCGGTGCAATGCTTTTCCACTCGGTCACCGGAGTTGGTCAAGTGCTGCCATAAGCATAATACACACTGCTTGATGTTCATAAAATCACCCACAATGGTTGAACGTGCATGGAACATCGCACAAAGACGCGAAAGATGTATTTCTTATCTAGAACAAAGCTCCGACATAGTGTATAAATTGTGCTCGTTGCTGCGAAGACTACATCACATTTAACGGCAGTGTGGAATAGTTTCGAGTAAAATATACAGCATAATAGCCACACTGGTGGCGCGCAGTGCCTACGTATGTTACAGTGTAAGGTAGCCAGCCTAATGATATACGTCATTGTGAGCATGAAGAGCCTGATAGAATAGCTTGGATAGTTGAAAATATGTTGTAGTATAATGTGTTAGTCTCATAATTTAGAATCAGTTTTTAAACTCGATCAGCCATAATCTGAATCGAGCATGCACTGTAACCGTTTACTACCCACGTTTTACGCTTCGATTCGCTTAACATTGCATCTTAGTTCTATGAACCAGGGCTAAATCAGTCCATTCGAAAGTATTATCGTCCGCTCACTGGATATTACACAAGTAACGTGAAATTATAGAGTTGTATTATATACCACTTCATTTGTAACTTTTGTTGACAGCAGTATATTGTCTATGGCATACGGCTACCCCGTCACATTACACCTCAACAAAGCTGGATACGACCAAATGTAATTGTTTTTCTTTATGCAATCATAAACGGTATATCATCTTTCTTTTAGCATCATTACCTCGGTTTTCACAACGCGCTGCTTATTTTTTTCAATGCGCACCAGCGCCATGCACTTGAAAGCACTGGGAAAGGCATGTAAAGATAGAACCGGGTGGCTGTATTCTCGAATGCTACTTTGGAAGGTAGTATTGAGCGATTTCTGTTCATTGAATAGTACATGCAATACATGAACCCAACAACGCATCCAATGATTGAGGGACACGCGCACTATGTGGCAAGCAGGTATTTCACACTTACTGTGGCGTAAAAAGATATGGAATAGTATATTCAAATTAGATGTATAAGTGAGCGTAATTTACTGAACACACTTATCTTTCACATTCAAATAACGTCTGCGTTTGTCGAATTTACTTCCTATGCACGTACATATACGTGAGGTATCGAGGTACCTACTTACATTGTTGCCAGTGTGAACGTGCTGACTCTGTTACAGCATATGCGATTTGCTTCGTTGGCCACTTGCCTTTACTCGTTGAAGTCCACAATACGACTTGAGTAGGCGATACGTTATTCATTGTTTGCTCATTTTGTAGTTATCCAATATTCGGCATCGATGTTGTAGGTGGCATCCGATTTTATCGCCGCGCGTGGATATCTTCTTCTTGTCTTGTAGCTTAAGGATTATCTTCGTTTTTGCGAATTATACTTCCCAGTTGCTGAAAGTAAAGATTTTTTGATTCGGCGGCTATAACGTCAAACTGTGATCAGTGCTTTCTTTTACTTGTTGTAAGCACTGACTGCCGTGGTATTTAACAGCACTACCAGAGCAAAACGGCAAAGCAAGTTGCAGTTGCTTGCCAAGTATTTTGCTATGACTAAATTATGTCGAATCTCATTGAGGTCATGGAGCTAGTATGGTAGGGTACTCTAGAGCCCTGGTTGTATTAGATTGGTCCACGTGTTGTCGTTGTATTGCGGCGGCGACATCTCTACCGATGATCGAACACGCGGGCGGTAGCACGGGTATACTAGTCCAATGCGTGCTGTCACAGTAGATCTACAAACCGTAGGTCTGGCCTAGTGGTTCGAGTAAATTTTTATCTGTAAGGCACAAGTGGAAATGTTACAGCCCAAAGTAGGGTGAATCTTAGATGGACGCTTATCGGGAAACGAAGCAATGTCTCAGCAGCTAACAAAAGTATGGGATCCTGTCAACAAGGCCTCTGACGTCTCTTCACGTATTTTTCATGCGTGTGTTTGAATTTGCATTCAATCGTAACGATGGAATAATTGTAAAGCACAAAATAGCGTGTACATGTCATGCAGATCCACAAGTGAACAACTACGCTCTTTGTGCCATTCATAGGCACTCTGCTACTGACAAAAACATGTACGGATCAAATTATGTTTATCATTATAGTTTGTTCATCGAAACTTCGTTGAAATCCTTGGAACAGCTCGAGATTACAGGAAACGAGGCAGCACGCTATGAAGCTTCGAGGGATCGTAACTGGGACCCCGCCGTAATGGTGCAAGTAAGCCCCTCCGCAAACAATGGGCCAGGATGAGCTAGCATTCGTAGCGGGCATCAATTATGCACTGGTATGCCAACGCGGAGTAGGTGCGTCGTGAGGTATGTATTGTCACAACGATTTGGTTCGATACCTACCCGGAAAAAGCCATATCAGGTCATACGTGGGTCATAGAAGTGTCGTAACACGCTAAAGCGTAATGACCGGTATGGCTGACCCGTAAACCTGCTACACTGGCCAAGGCATATCGTCAGAGACTGTGTTGAGCGTTGTACTGCTTCACGTAAGATGGCCAAGCAGCTTCCGATAATTATTCAGGCTCAAGCGTATTCATGGCAAAATCAATCGAGATACAACAGCTTTTCGGTATCGATCTCAACCGCCTTGTTTAATTATAAACGCTCTATCAGTGGCATACACTTCGTTTTATCTTGTCGTTCGATTCGGCAGCACTTGTGGGATCGTTGATTGCAATAGAAGTCACGTGTTTTGTCAAAAATGGCATCGTCACACGAGTTCCCGTCGTTCACGCGGTCACGTACCACCTTAATGGCTACCGACGTCGAATAGCTGGTGCTTTGATCCAGAGCACCTCGCGTACATCGCGTTTTGAGCAACGAAGGGTTTTTAGCCTCGCATGTGTGCAGATGCCGATGAAATGTCGTGACTAGCAACTTCACTGTTGGAAGTGCACCAATTTCCTGCTTGGTGAACTAAAACGAAAGCACCTTGCGCTTTCTTCGGGCTCTTACGACCTATTATGCGTTTTTGTGTATCCCATCATCGTGTCCTATACATCACGAAATGTGCTTCACTATGCTCTGGCTGATGTACTCAGTACTTTCTCGATGCTCTTGGTGGCAATCGAACATGGCCTTCCGATTGCTGCTGAGCATCAGAGTGCGTGTCGGACGGAATATGTGTTTACTAGCACCAAAAATACGAGATGAAGCTTCACTATTTAGCAAAGCAGTACATAGGTGAAGATTTGCTAGCCGGAGTTATCAGATGCTACACCTAGTCAACTCAACTTTATACACATCGGGCTTTTGGGAGCCTTTTTCTCGTCGCCATGTCTTCTGTCAATGATGATCGCAGGTAAAAAAGCTTGTCAACACTAGTGCTTCGCCATTGCAGCGTTAACCGTCTTTATCTACGGGTTCGTAGATGAAGACGGCTTCGACGGTTTCATTTCATTTTCGAGGACAGCAACTGCATCAATTATGGGGCGTCGGGTTACATGCGCCTTCTCCATAGTGACTGGTACGTCAGATCACGTCGAGCCGAGACTTTTGATACATTTGCGGTTATAACAATGTCATCTACAAGCAAGAATGAGTGAGACCTTGCTTTAGTGACCCCGTTTGGCTGCGGTGAAAGATGTTCATGTCAGCCCCAGTAATGACAAAAACGGTAATGTACCGTGCAAACGCGCACTTATACACTCCATTCTTTATCTCCGTCTTGCTTATGGCGGCCAGCTTAGTTCACAAGCTAAAAGTGGCGCAATCCGTTGCTACTACCATACATCATTCTATACTTCTTCCTCCTAGTCTACTATCCCAGCCCATCAACCAACGCTGCTCGAACCCCAATGTGGTTCGTAGTTTCAGTCGATTCGTTGCTACAGCCAAGCGATTCCAAACGCATCAGAACAGCATCAGGGGTTGCAATCGACAGCAAGCAAGCAATCCCCATCCCAGCGCTTGTTGTAGTAAGCAGCAATGCGACGACCATCGTCTCGCATAGCGATCCATTCAGCCCGCTCCTCAGCAGTCAGGCCTGGCAGTAAATCCGTAGTCATGTTATAGTCCGTCTCGGTGTCGTGCAGCATCATCACCTCGCCAACTTCGTCATATCGGAGACGCTGGTGACCGCGGACAATCGCCATTTTTTGCGAAGGGTCGTTGCTATACACTGCTCGTTTATCAGTAAGAAACTTGCGTTTGAGAGATCGCCCGACGCCATCTTGCTGCAACCCTCCTTCTGGCAATCCCGTGATATCGGCAAGCGTATTGAGAAGGTCGTAATGCTCTGCAGTGTCGTCAATCACAGTCCCCACATCATGACCCAGTCGGCCTTCAGCAATGATTGCAGCTGGCACGCGTGTCATCGACTCCTCCATTTTTTTTGCAAAATCACCCTCAGGTCCTTGACCGTGGTCCCCAACGATGACAACGATAGTGTCGTTGAGTATACCCTCCGTCTCCATACGGTCCATGAATTTACCCAATTCCATGTCGGTAAAGTACCTCACCTTCATGTACCTCTCGATTTGGTTGGCATGCTTCTCTCCTTCGTAGAACTTGGAAAAATCAGGCTTGTCGGCATCCTCATACCATTTTGGCCATGACTCGTACGGATCGTGGCTCGAGATAGTGTAGTGTGTCAAAAACAAAGGCTTCTTTGGCTCTCCTCGGGCCAACCTCTCTCTCTGTTCTTGCTTCTTTTCCACAAACAAGTCGCCCAGAAGCTTAAAACTGACATCGTCATGTACACCCCAGCGCAGTGCTCGAGTCTCTGCACCATTCCAGTCACCGTGACGGATACCGAGCTTTTGCTCTGCCAACGCTTTCATTTTCGTGACTTCCCACACGGTACCAAAGCCATGGCTCGGAAGAAAGATGGCCCAGCTGTCCAGGGAGATGGAAGAGCCTGTGGTGAAAAACGTCTCATACCCTTTCTCGACAAACAGCTGCGGCATGCCTGAGAGCTTCGTGTCCTTCCTTCCTCCAGTAATGCCAGTCTTAAAATTGCTTTGGTAAGGGACCTGTGCAAACAGGATACTTTCCAACGAGCGACTTGTGGGACGACTCGACCAAATATTGCGTAGCGCCACGCCGCGTCTTGCCCATCGATCAAAGTTCGGAGTGATCGTCATGTTTGTGCCCTTGAACAAGCCCGACGGGTCCTCTTCGCCCACGAGATAGCGCGAATCGCGAAACCGAAACGACTCGACTGCAATGATCAGCACGTTCGGCGGATCGGCGGCATCGACACTGACGTTGAACGCCAGGTCACCTTGGAAGCCCGAAGTGCGTCGGTACAATGTGTTGTTTCCGTAAAGCTCATGCAGCTCGGTGGCATCGATGTATTTCTCTGTCCACGGCTGATCGACATTGACACTTGCAGGCTCCACGTATTGGAGGGAAGGCTGAAACGCCTGTCTAAACAGCTCGTTCAGCGTTGCATTTAGCGCTACATATGCGACGAGAGGGGAGCACGCACTACAAAGTACCATTACCATCGACGGGAGAACCACAAGTCCCACGACAACGGTAGTAGCTCGCAGAGCATAGTAGCACTTAGCTCTTCGTTGCACGTTTTCACCACTCGATGGCGAGACGGTTTCGGTGGTCTCTGCATCGGCAGGGCTATCAAGACGTCCATCCTCTAGAGCCACCACTTCATACTTCACGCCCCGTGCCGATTTCGCTACTGCAGTCTTCTCACTGGCTTTCGAGTTCATGAAACGCACTGGCGCTTGCAGAAGGTGCGTCGGATTCCACATTGCTAGGTCAGCCCAGCTACTTAGCACACGCACAAGCGCAAAGAAGGTGGCGATGACAACGAGGAACCCCGCAGTCCCGTAAGCCGCGTAGACTTCCTGGGTAGAAATCGGAGCAGCTTTGAGATTGTCTCTCTCTCGAAACAAAGTAGCCGACAAGCCAAACGAGAACCTCATATGCTTGTACAGGACGAGCATCAGGTCCACGACGGGTGGGGCCACCGCAGCGAAACACAACAGCCACGAGACCACAAACGCTGTTGTTGCTCCAGCCATTTTGATTGCCATTCCATTCGATGCCCAAGCGCGCTTTGCCAACGAGCGTCGGACCGTGTCAAAGAGCCACAGTGCCGTTGCAAAATAAGTGGCACAGACGACGTCTTCCAGGAAGCCAACGCTCAGCGCCAACACTTTGACCACCACAGTGTTGTCCTTCGGGCTTCCGTACATGTCGAGCAGCGCCGGTAGAGCGAGACACCGACTGATGGAAAAGAAGAAGAGGGCGAAAGCGTAGACGAACAGCCACCCGAGCCACGGCATCGCGTCGACATCGGATGACTGGAACGACGTGCGGCACCAGCGCCGACGTGGGATTTCGGTATCCGATACACTGTCGCCAGTGAGACGTTCAGCGCTTTGTTCGTCCGCGTCAGGGGAACAAAGTTGAGGGGAAGGAGAGTGCTCGGGACGGCCCTTCGAGTCCATGAGGAGCGTCTTCGTGGCGGCTGAAGGGATTATGTCCGACTACTGCACGTCTGACGTGGCCACTCAGTCGAGACATTCACGGTACAATGTGGTCACGAACGGACGATTTTCTTGTCCCGCGTGTTGTGGAGATCGCCATACTGCTCCAGTTCTGTGCCACAGGATCCGCTCTGCGATTTGCTGCCGCAGCTGTCTTTTCCCACAGATCAAGACACGAGTCCGTGTGGAACGTCAAGAGCGACGTGACAACAGGACGAGCGCTCTGTCGGATGGCACTGAGGGTTCGGTCTGCGGCAGTTTCGTTTCAACTTCGCTTTCCGCGCAAGTCGAATGAATCGACGCACTGCCTGCCCAACTGTCGTAAACGCATCGAGTCGTCGCGTGTTTCGCGCGCGCATGTTCTTGACCGGCTCTTGCTCTGACATGCCGAGCGTGGCACAGACTCTCTTGAACCAGGAAGGGGGCTGAGCGCAGAGCGATAAAAACGGAGCGTGCTGTGCAGACCGACCAATGCGTCGCCGTCGTTGCGTAAGGAATGGACGGGGGATTTTGTTCCCTTCTGCGACGCTCAAGAGTGGTATCCTGTAAGGACGAGCAAGTGCTTGGACTTTACTGGGCTGGATCCAGCCATCATCACGTGCCCCACGCTTGTCCATGGGAGTCCTCATTTTGCGTCTCACCTTCTATTGGTGTGTATGCTGTTTTAGAAATGGTCACGGAACGAGTTTGAAAGGTCGGGAGTGTACAGGGATCGACGAGACTTTTTTTTTTTTTTTGTGATCAGATGGTCTATTAACATGGGTTTAGCTATGTACAAGATCTCTGGTAAATGCGGAGCCAAACGGCCAGCCCCGGTTTGTCCGAAGGGTGGCTTTGGCTAGCCCTTGACATGCCTGGAGGCCCGTCAGGTGCTCGTTCGAGCAACTCGATGCTGGATAATAGCACGGCGCCCATGATGGCTGAAGCCTCTTTTCTGTGCTCTCTGGTCGCGATCGCGCGAAGTTGGCAGACGCATGCAGTCCAAAAGCTCTGCGTGGTTCCGGGGAGGTCGGTCACGACTGTGCTGTAGACGGCTTCATTGCGGTCGGTCCACAGCCTTGTAAGACATATCGTCGCAAGAATGTGCCACGTTCTCTTCCAGACGTGGTCGGCCATTTCCCGATCCTCCTGAAAGCGGTCTTTCAGTATTGCTGTGCGGTGCTGTGGTACGTGCGACACTCGTCGACTTGCCTACGCTTGAAAAAATTGCTGAGTGCGCTGTCGTGATGGTCGCTCGCCTGTCCATTGACTAACGAGTTTACCCCAGAGAGCTTCAGCATACGCGCACTCCCAGAATAAATGAGCCGGAGTCTCCTTTTTTCCCCGACAGCCCGGTCGCTTCCGACATTCGTCGTTCTCGGACCGCCCAGCGTGATGGAGATTAAGTTGTCGCGTCACGATCCTGTACCCGGTCCAGACTTGAAAATCAGTCAGGCCATGGCTATGATCCCATGCTTGCTGAGGTGTTTGGCTGAGGACTGCTCGTTGCCAGTCATCCGTGCTTGCGCGTGGGGATCGACGAGACTTGCAAATGGGCTGCTGCGGCCCTACGTGTATTTTCGACGCACCGCCGCTTGCCTCAAATTTGGTGCGGATAGGCGCTGGCTGGGTCTGACTCTTGGCCCCGTATTGGCGATGCATAGTTTACGAAATGCAGGCAGAGCTTCTCGGATCTTGTCTGTCATTTTTGTTAAGTCTGTATGTATCAGGAAGGACAGTGTATGGGTACACGCTGATGCCTCGTTGGCCACGTCAAATTAATGATACCACAAGTAACGGCACTACGCTGTAGACGTCTTTGTTTACCTATGCTCGCGCGCCGAGAATACCGACGACAGTACAGGCAAAAGGGATTAGGCAAAAACCTGCATGAGCGTGTGTGGCCAGCTGTAGGATGTACCCGCTAGCCCGCACAACATGCCGTGCTTATGGCGGTTGTGGCAAGACTCAGTCGGAGCTGGTTACGGGCTACATACATAGTATCGAGCTGTACAGAAAGTTGCGCTGTGCTATTTGTCGCAATGGTAAAGACGCTAACATCGCTGGTGGTACAGACACTTCAAAACCCCTCGACAACTGACGAGGAGCTCGTGATGATTGGTGATGATACCATGACGGGCGGCGGCAAAGTATTGTGGGCTTTGTCTGCCATCTAAACAGCGAAGTCATGCTGCCTGTTTTATAATCATACGTCATCCCAGGCGCTGTGAGTAATGCATCTGACCTACTACGCCCAAAGTATATTTGGGACATCAGGCACGAAGGCAGCCCGCATAATTTAGCGTAAGACGTGACGGGGTCAGCCTGTTACATGTCATTGGCACGAATTGTGCAGATGTAAATAAAACCTCGATTGACACTATTCCAGTAATATTACTCTTGCGAGTCAATATTGCTGCAATATTACCTTCAGAGGTAATTGTCGTTTTGTTTCACCCCATTCGTTGCTATAGGCCGTGATATCAACCGCATGAGCCACCAAACGTTGCTAGACGCGTGCAATGGGCGGTGAGTGAGATTTTACAGTGGAAGTTTGTGTTTGCTGTAGTGTATCGATAATGTAAAGAGGGTTTACTAACGAGCCTTTCGTAATCATGTATAGTTTTTCGTTTTCTCCTGTTGCAAGAGGTGCTCAGATTCTTTACTTCCTCTGCACATACGGCACGCGTAGTTTTGGGAGCGCACACCCTCGTACTGTCAGTCACGGTACAAGGGCTTACCAGTTATCGGGTAAGAGGTGTGCTCCATTGTACCTGGTAGCACTTCGTGGTCCGTTTAACGGTCACGACGGTTTCACTCAGCATGAACATGTTGGACGAGGGAGAGAGCTTCGACGCCATGCGCGAAGGTTACCTCCATTCGAGTGACCTCGGGTGGAATGCGGATACCCCAAGAAAGCTCTGTTACACAGCACCATTTACCAATTTACCGCCCTCATCGGTAAGAATTGCGTGTGCCGGAGATTTGGCGTGCCTTCTATGAGCTTCATCGTGCAACGATCTCTTCTTGACTGACCGACCAGCCTATCCTTTCACCCAGCGTGCATAACCTTTTGCCAGTGAGTAGCATGTCGTCGTCTCTTTTTGTCGTAAAAATGTACCGCTAAGTAGCTTGCGAAGCCGTCCATTATCACAAGTATCGCAGTGAATCGGGTACCATTGTTCTTTGCTAGAACATTCAAATCGGCATCGACAACTTGATTTGGTGCCGTGTTTGTTTATCCTAATTCATGTGAAGTCGCCAACATACCACATACGTGCCTCTGGTGAGCAAATGTGCATGCAAATCGAGTCCACAATAAAAAAAGAGATCATGGAAGACAGCTGCTGATGAGCGCGCTACATGCTGTGCTAAACAACACCGGTTTTCAAACGCGCAAAATAGAGCAACCACAGTCTGGCAGCATTAAGCTCGAGAGAAAGCTACTCCATCGCATACGACGTATTTGTGAGACGATTTTGTAGTGTTGCAGGGCAGGCCAAGAAGATCATGATGTAAGAAGATATATCATTACGACCCGAGTGATCACCATAAACGAAATGTACGATCCTGCAAATACGTGCCGTACGCATATCAGCTGCTTTCACTACTACTCATGTAGTCGTACTGCTAACAAGACTTTACAACGCCTATGTCTTGGTGCCTTCTCATTTCTATAGTGCGCTATCGATACTGTACAAGTAGTTGCTGCAAAGAGATTGTCGATTATCTCAGTTCTGTCATCATTTACAGTCATGATCCGTAAAACAATGCATAAGGTTCGTGTTGCGCGAGACATGCATTCTTATCACACAAGAGCTCTCAGCTAGGCATCAACCAAAGCGTCACGTCAACGCGTGTAGGTCAATGGTGCTAATCGCCAGTGAGTATCATCAGAGCACCTGTTGAAGCCTACGTATCGTTGTTGCCTTTCGCAGGTGCCACCTTTCCCGAGTTGTTCTCAGAAGCCGCTCCAAACCCCCAGATGTTATTGTGCGTGCTTGTTGGAATTCGCATACCGCCGCGAGAGTTGTCAGCACCGCCCCATCCAGCAACGATGCCATCGTACAAAGACTTGCGCACCATTGACGTGTTCACGCCACCTGGCTGGTACCATGGCAGTGGAGCTTTGGCGCTGCGCCACGAATGGTTGTCCGAATGGCCCCAAATTGTCACGCCAACGCATCGCTTCACCTGCTTGCATGCCGCGACAGTGTTTTTGTAGACATCGGTCTGTTGGGCTTGCTCTTCCGCAGACGGTGAGGCCGAACTTGCTGTCACGTCCAGCTCGGTGATGGCGATGTCCAGTCCTAGTGCAGTAAAGCGCTCGAAGTTCGCCACTTGGTCAGCAGTAGAGAACTTGTCCGCAAATCCCAAGTGTGACTGGAAGCCAACGCCATCGACAGCAATACCATCATCCAGCAGTTGCTTTACCATTTTCAGCACGGCAGTGGACTTGTCATTGATCGTGTTTGTGTTGTAGTCGTTGTAGTACAGCTTTGTCTTTAGGCCGAGCGACTTTTTGACGAGGTTGGCGGTCTTAAATGCCGTCGTCAAGAACTCCATACCAGTCGTCTTGTACCAAAACGTATCGCGCATTTGCCCGTTGTCACCCATGACCTCGTTAGCGACATCCCAGTGGTGACAAGAGTCATTGAAGTGCGTCATGACTTTTGTGATGTGGTTCTCGAGGGCACTTAGCATCTCTTTCTTGCTCAGGGTCTGAAGCCACTGAGGAGTCTGCGAATGCTGTGAGACGATCACATGAGAGTGACATGTCAGCAACTACCACACAGCGATCCAAATTGGCAAAACATACCCATTGTAAAGCGTGGCAGTGAACTTTGGCGCCCATGTCTTTGGCGAGCGCCACGATTGCATCGCCCGAATCAAATTTAAAAGTGTTCTGCGTGTACTCGGTGGCGTCCCACTAAATAGCGCACACACAAACAAACACGCCATTATGTACACTACTAAGTCGGTATGAAGCAGAGACACCACTTCAACGTGTGCTGCAACGTACTTTCATGGCGTTAGCAGGAGTGACCATGCCAAAATCTTTGCCATTGTTCAGAACTTTCAGGGCAGCAGAGTCCTTAATGTCTTGATCTACGGATGTGCCCATGTACTTTCCAGTAGCCTTGGCCATGTCGTGAAGTCCACTCGAGCCCGTGTACGTGGACTTGACAATCGAGTCACCACTCACAGTTGCGAGAGAGCTCAGCCATAGAGCAACGCCTATCGCTTGTTTCATGGTCCGTCGCAAGTCGGTAGCAACGTCTTCAGAGACGGAAAACAGCAAATGCGCTCCTGACTTCCACTGGTGCTCTGTTTCGTACAGTTGTGGGATAGAGAGTGTGTCAACGTGACAACGTCGAGCGTCGAGACGTGTACCGTAGTGCGATCGTATCAAGTCGATTTGGACTGCCGACCGAGCGTGTTCGACTTGCTACGTACCGCTTTGGAGCCTACACTAGCGAGTATTACCGCCGCACTATCGGCGCGCTTTGCTGTCAAAATTTCAGCAGACTGAATTGCTGCCATTACAGCGCAAGGATTGTGGACAGGGGATGTTGCAGGAGGAACAGAGACAGGCACACTTCAACGACGACATACCACATGTCTGGCACCGCAACCGTCAACAAGTTTTCTAAATATTTGAGTCTGGACAAGCCACAACATTGGATTTGACCTATCCTGAGTCCGCTGCATGAACGGGTCCTACGAAGATCAAAACTTAGTCATTTAGTATGCTTCGCCAGCCATCGCTCAGGCGTTCCGTCTGTTCGGTCCCGTGCGAGGCGAAAGCTGTTTCTCGCAAACGTAGTGGAGCATACGGTATGCGATATGACGAGAAAGAGACCACCTGCCGATTTGCGTCTGTTAGACACGTCACGAGCATATGTCTTACAAGAAATGTTCGGGTGTGAGCATTTGCGACAAAAAAGAGAGCGGTGTACTTGTCAATAATCGATATGTGGTAAGATGCACCGACGCGTATACTTCTGCACCAATGGATGTGTGCCGCTGAGATATGCTTGGCAATTTCAGCCAGTCATGCAATCTTTTGATTCAAGTATTCGTGTCTGCCGTAGCTACAATGAACGAGGACCGTGTTTCTTCTAACAAACACATGGACATCGCAGCCATTGTAGTCGTATCGTCGCAGCAGTATTTTCCTTGTTGCACGGCCGCCCCTTAGTAGCTGACAATTCATTGTACCGAAATGGAACGAGTACACGATGATGCCACGGGGACACTTGTCGGTACGAAGTAGGAGACCGGTCACAGTGCGCATGTAGCATTCACAGTGTGGAATGCAGACTGGCAAACAATCAGACAACGGCTGTGTGTCATACCGAAGTCGCATCGTTTACGCCCGCATCGCATGTCCACAACGTTGACATGGAGCGAGCCCGAAACTCGCTCGAGCTGACCGGTGCTGGGATTCAGGAAGTCAGCACGCACTTTACCAGTACGATGTACCAGTCGTCGTAAACGTGTTCTTCTAGTCGCTTCCTCTGGGCATACCAACGAACAAGATGCAATCTGCAGTGCAGGCAGCAAAGTACCAAATTATGTGCACGCCCCTCTGTGTCTGTTTTTGTAGCTTCGAAAACATGGGACCGGGTATCTCATGTGTGAAGCGGTTGGGTTTCTATGGTGAGCCACACTCGCAACCGATTCTAAACTGCGCTGGGTTAATAAAGTAACCCGTTGCTTCGAAACTCCACATCATCTGTCGTTTCGATGATACGCTTTAAAAAGCCGACACGCAGATCAAGTGCTTTTTTCTTGCCGATCGTCAAGAAAGCGACGGTCCTATCAACTGCTTTTCTTTATCGCTCCTTTGCTGTGAACTTCTGCGCGTCAAGAGGTGACTTTATCCACGACAGCGAACAATAAAAAGTGTCGCTGCATCCGTTCCAGTTGTCGCGACTGCCCGTTGGTTCGCTACCGATCGATCGATCGACCGGTCGATTGCGTCTCTGTCTATGGCCGAGCGCTCTATCAGATCCGCTTGTTCCACCGCATCAGTCGCGAGTGACATCAACGCGTTCGCAGTCGACTCAGTCGATTCGATGGCGTTCGCGGCGGCAGACAAACGCTCCGCCGCTGACGCCTTTGACTGTGACAGTGTTGAAGAGCATAACGCGAAGAAGCGGACGATCGATGACGTTGACGATAAAAGTGATGGACATGGCAGTGGAGATGACGTTGCAGCGCGTCCTGTGGTGAAGAAGAGCAAGTGGATCGACGAGGAGCTTCCGGACGTCGATGACAATGAGGAGTTTCCACCGCGAACGGAGGAAAGGGACGACGAAGAAGTGGCGTGTGGCCTGACAGAGGGACAACATGATGATGGGAATGTGGTGACGGATGAGGTGCATTCGCGTATAGTGAGCTGTGGTCACGGGATGGGAGACGACGTGGATCTGAGTAGAGAGAGCAGGAAGGACGTGGACACGCCAACAGACGAAAAAGAAGAAGAAGAAGGAGAAGAAAATGAAGAAAGAAAGAAGGAAAGAGGAGAGGAAGAAGAAGAAGGAGGAGGGATCGATGGATTAGATTTCGCAGAAGAGGAAGGAGGAGAAGAGAACGATGAAGAAGATGAAGAAGAGGGAGAAGAGGGAGAAGAAGAAGATGGAGAGAACGACGAAGACGCTGACGGTGGGGAGTTAATGGGGTATCAAAATCATGGCATCGACATTGTGGACGTTGATGACGATGACGGTGAAGAGGAAGGGAACGGAGACGGCGACGGGTACGAGCAATTTAGTGATCACGATAGCGAAGAGGAGGAGGAAGATGGAGAGGAGGTTGATGAGGACGAGGACGAAGAGGACGAGGCGGCAGAGACTGTTGCACGGGCTCGCAATCAGAGAGAAGCTAGACAGTTGTTGCAGCAACTGGACGGCTCGACAAGAAGCAAACTGTGTTTGACGGTGCTAGAGAAGTACGGAGAAGAGCTCTTGTACGGGCACGAAGACGCACGAGATGCCATCTTAGTGGACGCTTGTGCTCATGAGTCAGCGTTGTCGCTGATGAGGGACGCTATCCGGGTAAGGGATTTGTATGCGAGGGGATCGTCGGCAGCAGCACCCGTCGAGTTGGACAATGATGACGATATTGACGAGGAAGAGAGTGAGGCTGCAGGGTATGCCGTGGAATCGGGTGATGATAATATTGAAGAAGAAGGAGACGAGGAAGCTGGAGGGTACGAAGATGAAGAAGAGGAGGCAGATGATGAAGACGGAACAATCGCAGATGAGGATGATGATGACGAGGTTGTCGTCATTTCGGAGGAGGAAGTGGAAGATACGATGGTGTGCGAGCAAGACAGCGAGAGTCATCTGGATGAATCCACCCACGACGAAGGGTACTATGGAAGTGAGAAGGAAGAGGGTGACGTGGGCTCGGTGAAGATGTTACACCCCGTCACTGGTGATGCCGGGGCTGAGCGTGACGCTGAGAGATGCAGAGCTGACAACAATCAGGATGAACAAGACGCGGACTGCGAAGGTGCAGCGCTAGATGACACAGGGGCAGCATGCGACGTTGTAGCACCGGCCAATACCGGTGTAGCAAACGTATTGAGTTTGCGGGTGCCGGTTGCTGACTCAGCCACGTGAGGCGTAGCGCAAACAGCTATTCATTGAATCTTAGCGCATTATCGCGGCACGGACACGAGCCTCTCGTAAGTTTGGTTGCGACTTTTCTCTTTCAACTGCTGTGCACTCTCCGCGTGCTACTGCTTCTTCCAGAGACGACAGCTGCCGCAGTGTCCTCAGCTCTCTTCTCCCCTTCAGTCTTGTGTTTCATGACTCGAGATGCGATGATCGTAATGTCGTCCGGCATACCACCGCCCCATAGCAAATCGTTCTCCTTGGCAAGGCGAGCAAATGGCGAGTCGCGCGTTCGATCGAGGGACAAACGGTGGGCCTTGTGTACAAGCTTGCGCGTCATGGTCTCAAGGTCCGCTTCGGTACGTACAATGTCAAGGAGATCTTCCTCATCCACGTTGTCGAAGAGTCCATCAGTGGCGAGAATAATGAGATCTCCCTCAAGCACTGGTACTCGCAGTCGCATTCCGTTCTCCGGGGTTTCGAAAAGCGGCTTCTCACGCATCGGTGAGTGCGTGCCACGCGCCAAGTCGTCCACAACATCACTCACAAGGTCAGCGCCCGCGAACCCCAGCTGAAAAGGGCAGTTGAAGTAGTGCAATTGCTGTGGTGAGCGGTACGTCACGTGCGCTCCCTTTCGTCGGCCAGCCGGCGTAAGGTCATGCTCGCGGTTGACGATCTTGCGCGTCAGCGATCCATCCAGCGTACCACGTAATCGTGCAGTCTCGAGGTCCGATGCCTTGTCGCGGATGATCAGGAACCCCGAGTCGCCCAAGTTAATGGCATGCAGCTCTCCTTGTTCCGGGTTCAGTGTCAGAATGCAAGCTGTCGAGCTGCCGATGATTTGTTTCTGGAGCACTGTCGACCAAGCAGCGTGCAAGACTTCGGAAGGGTTGATGTCGCGATCTCGGGCGTATGAGAATCTCACTGCCTGACGTGCAGAAGCCATGAGCTCCTCGGCGTACTGCCGTGCACGTACCCCCTTGTCAAACTACGATCCTGCACCGTCACTGCTCGACACGAGAACCTCATGACACTGTAAGCTCGTGCACATTTGACTGTCCAATTGACAAATGTTTTTTTAGATCCAGCAGCTGCAATCGTTCACATGATCGAGTGAGTCTTTAGGCGACACGAACCGCAATTCATGCGCCACCTCTGACACCTGTCATAGCAACAAACACCGATGAGAAATCGCATCGTGGCAACAACAGCCACGGAAGGCGACCTATCCGTGACGCAGATAGTTTTGACTCATTCTTCACACTGGACGCTGCTTGTATCCGCGCTTCTTCTGGATAGTTTTCCCGCATGACGTCAAGTTAGTTTTTACTTACATGCCCTGCATTTTTTACTTCCGCATGTATTAAATGTGCCAGGATACGGTTTCAGTACGCGTTGCCGTGAGGCAGAATGCGGTGACCGCTTTCAGTCCAAGCAGTGCCGACCACCGGAATAGATCGACGTCGTGCTACGCGAACCTTTTCTTCCTGTCCTCGTAGTAGCAGCGGTGACTCGGATCGAGCTCGATCGCCCGTTTGTACAGCTCCACGCTCTGCGTCTTGGAATCCTGCCAGCCATCGACCTGAGTCATTGTGCCTGCGCGGCCGTGTACGTCGGCCAGCGTGACGATGACCCATTTCGCGTCCTTCTCCATTGCCAGCAGTTGATCCAGCCACTGCACTTGGGACTTCAAGAATTCCGCCGTGTCTTCGGGAGACGATATCGTCAGGTCCAACATCGACGTCAACAGCCAGCGGTAGTAAAACCAGGCACTTTGATCATCCGGTTCTGTGAACACGGCTTGTTGCACGAGTTCAATCTCGCTAAACAGCACGTCGGCCGTTATCGGCTCCGGCAGGTCAATACTGCGATGGTGCAACGCCGAGTAGTTGGAGAAGTTCTGCTCGATCTTCTTCGTCGTGAACGCCAACTGGTCGGTTTTCGACACTCCAGCCATTTCGCAGACGTGTCGACGGTAATTCCAGCAGTGGAAATTGCGCTCGTCTGATTACACACGGGAGCAAGCCAAGAGCAACAAAACAACAAAGCAACGGTCAATCGCACGTACACCACTGCACATGCAGGTCCTTTTTACCGAGATCCAGTAGCTTGTCACACAGTCCAATCTCCTTCTGCAAATCGCCCAGTCCCTGGTCAATGATCCATTTGCGCTGGAACCAAGCCGAGTAGGATTTGGGGTTCCGCTGCAGTGCGTCCTATCACACGCGAAAAAAGGGTCAACCTCTCGTCGCGTAGTAGTGCGAACGACGTACGCGCCACATTCCCCAACACATCGTACCAGCGTCATCTTGAGTTCCGTGTCGGCCAATTCGCGCAGTTTGGACGCGGCTCGATCCGTTTCTTGCGCCAGAGCCGTAATGACCTCACGGCGGTAACTCCAGAGCATGTGGAACTCGGGGTTCAGCAGCAGCAAGTGGCTCGTCAGAGGCAGCACGCTGGGCTCGTAGCGCTGCTGGCGCTTCATCGCTAGCACTTTGCTCGCCACCTCGTGGTACATTCGCACTCTCGAGACCTCTTCCTGGCGCTGCTCGTCCGTCTTTAGCTGCTCGTTCTTGCGCTCAATGCTCTTGACGCGTCCGTGCATGTTGTCGGATCGGGCGTGACGGTACCCGTTCGTCAATGCGTCAGTAGGTGGCACTCGAGTGGGGGACACGGCACAGACGAGGGCCGAACACGAGTTGCTGCTGTACTTGTCGGCTCTGTTTACTGTTTTATTTATCGATAATCTGTTGCGCTCGATTCATTTCTACAGACGCAATAGACACATTTTAGTGTGAATAGGGTCGCCCACCTGGCTAGCACCGTCTTCTTATACCGGTTAGGCAGGATAAGAAGAGCACGCATCCGCTAAAACCTAGCAATAATGAGCGCAACCTCTTCGAGCACGTGAAGCTCGGTCAGTAATTAAATCTGAATGCAATGCGCTAAACTTGCTCCTTCATTCAGCGATCATTGTTCCTGAAACGGGGCACCTTACGCTCATCGTGATGACAGTATAAGCAGGCTATCGATGACAGTGTAGATGCATGTGACAAACCTCATGCATAGGGTAACGTGCAGAGAAGGCGCAATCGTATGAGCACAAACAAGATTGATTAATAGAAAAAAGGAAGTGTATGCGCAATAGTTACGTCACGGTAGACCACTTCATCCCTCCAGGCTTTGACCATCAAAACCATCGAATACATGAGTAACTTCTTGCCTACCACGTACCGCGCACATCTAGCATTGCTGATTAGTAATGCTGGCTAAAACGATCGCCAAATTGTCAACAAGCCCTCGGTGCGGTGGTCTGAGTACATCGAACACCACGACATTTCGGGCGGTCTGATGAAACAGATGACGCGCCTTCTAAGTCAAGTTCTCTTGGGGTCGCGAGAGCGTTATGGGGGCGATCGATACAGCACCTCCGTATCGATCACCTCCATCGCGCTCTCGCGACCCCTAGAGGACTGTGTCAACGCCGGTACCGTATGTATACGCTGCCTAGCGGTCGCGACTGATGTGATATTCGTTATCTATTTACATCACGCAGGATGTATGGACTGAATATTCTGCGTCTCGTGTCTGAGAGCGAGCCGTGAATGCAGTCACAGCTGCAATCGGATATCAAGATTGAGACAATTAGCGATCGCGATAACTTGGAAACTTATCCGTCAAGGCTACATTTCTTGTCACCGATGCGTACACTTCAGTGTTAGACATGAGATGTACATTGGTGTCTTCCTCAGACACCATTGGGTCAGCAGAAACCATTAGTGCGACGGTAACTCTCTTGCAAAGACCTCGAGAGCGCTTGGCTACCGCGTGTGACATATATTTGACGCGAGGGCTGTTCAAATAAACTTATCATTATCCGAAAAGACACATACCCTTCAATAGGTATGTGTCTCTTCCTCGATGTATGAAGGGAGAAATTGCGGATCTACAACGTCTTTACAGAGATGCTGAGGTGTTCTTTTGTCGATCAAATACCCGTACGTATTGTGTGGGCCTCGTTGTATTGTTCATTAGCCCAATGAGAAATAAATTGAACATGGATCACGAAGTTACCCCTAAATTCGAAGAGGGTGGTTAGACACTCTTAGAAGCGAGCTAACGCGTTCAACCTCCTATCACGTCACGAATTCTACTTTGTATGGTCATAAGTAGACGTCGGCTGCCACGACAATACACGGTGAATGAGATTGCGGCGAAGTTGCGATACAAGATTAAGACGAGAATCACTTTTATAGAATAGGGTACACGATTTAATTAGAGGTCAGAATACCATCCTCGAAATTAAAGATTAAACGATTAGCCCCATGACGGCACATGGTTCACGGGTGCAACTTCCTCAATTTGGGACCGTGTACCGACCTGGCGCAATTCAATCAACTCGAGCGTACAAGGAGCAGCATATGTGAGCTATTGCGATGGGACAATGAATATTGACGTGCAGTTGGACAGGACACACGAAGTTTGAATTGTACTTGATGGAAATAGACACGAAACATTGCACGCAACATCGTTGATCTCACTTCACAATATGCTGTGTAGGTCAATAAATATGGATAAAAACGTATACCGATACTTCACCTAAATTCGGTATAGCCTAGTGCAACCTGAAGACGAAGACAAAATGTGTGACGGACTTCACATAGATGGAATAATTTGGCTAAATAGATACTGACTTGAGATTTTTGTGGTTGACGGGTCTTCGAGAGTCAGGTTCACTATCGCGATGCATACGAAGGATAGCGAAGTCACTGATAAGGCGCACGTGATCATGTCACCATTTTCTAAACAGATCTGGGTATATGACGATAGACACCGATATATGTTGCGTTCACATCATTTTACCGGTAGCTTGGGCTATTTGGAACACAACCAAGTGTGCTCAAAAATGCCAAGTATGACACATTTACTTATATAGAGTTGTGGGACAATCCGTAACAGTTCGGGCCAAGAGCCAGCACAAATGCTCTAACTCATGCCGTGAGGATAAGTTAGGTATGTTCGCTTGGATATGGATTAATCATCGTTATTTTGATGTATTCTCGATATTTTCTTATGTAATCGTTGTATGAAAAACATCTCATTGTTAAACATTTCTCGATATTCAATGCATAAATTGAAGATTATGCTCGATGTTCAGGATATCTGCGCATTCATTGGAGCATGGAGCACAAATTTTGACACGTTTCCGAGAGCATACCTTGCAACAAGTAGATACTAACTTGACACAATATTTTCAAGGACACTTTATTTTCCAGGGCAGGATATAGGTCCGCTTACACAGTTTACTCAGTAGATTATTTCGATACAATATTCGCGCGTCACATAATTCTATTTTAAACAAGATCTTCGACCTACCGACGACCAAAATCTTCGACTTCGCCTCTGCTCATGTACACACACCTCAATTGCTTTAAAGGTTCGCATGAAAACTTGAGATTAAACTTCCCTTCTATTGGATGCATCGGGCCACGCATAAAATCGGACAGAAAAGGTCGATGGACAAATATGGCAAAACATCGATCTGGAAAGCTGTACGTTTTCAAGGAGTCGGACTCAATTCAGGACGAGAGCTGTTCAGAACTCGTTTTTATGATGTGGAGATCGGAAACATACGAAAGATATACTTAAGATTAGAAGACCCTCTAGCAAACTACTTTACCAAGGATATGTCGACTTCGCGTTTTGCGCAGCTTCGCGGGCTCAGCCGTTTTGTTTCGTCCTCCAGTTGAGAGGATTGTCACAAATATCCGGATCAGAGCGGTGCTGGTTTCTTTGGCAGATAGCGTCAACGATGTACGGCATTCACGATTGGATGCCGTACCATGTGTCTGGTGCTGATCTGAATATGTTAAGCAAGGCCTGCAATAGACGTCAGACAATGTTGTGCGCAGCACCATCTTGTTCGAAATGGAGAAAAAACATAGTTGGTGACAGCTATAAACTTTTACGGGCGCCAGACGCGTATGGGATCTCGCCGGCAGCTTCTCCAGTGGATTTATCGATCTAAAAAGTAATATGTTGCTGTAGTTTGCGCTTGTCGACTAAGAACGTCATGAAACTCTGTGTAACCTCATAATCGACCCATTACGTCTACCAATCCTGGCTGCTGGGCGTCGACCCGGAAGAGAGTGTCCGCCGTGACAATTCCACGTCCAACACGCCCCTTCAATGGACAAGTTGTCGACCACTATCGTTTTTCTTCACCAACCTTGACTTACTACACCCCTGACACTGAGACTAGTTTCTCGAGATCTCCAAGCCGTTTTGTGGCGCCTTATGGTCGCGCGACTCCTGCGCTACCATGGACCTGCCATTCTTGAGATCTAGTGTCTTGGTCTTGTCTCGTGCCCTTGCGCGTGACTCCCCTTTCGTGCTGAAATTTCGTGTCGCGCACAATATCAAGTCTCCTTAATCAGAAACTCCTTCCTATCTTATTTTTCTCCAACATGGTGTCTTGTCACCAACGCCTCTATTCCTTTCGCAGCACTTGCACATCCACTATGTATGCGCGTCTTCGTCTTGCGATTCACTCTTATTGTCAGAATGTGCGCCGTATTCGTTTGTCTGCAGAAGATACCTTCGGCTCATAATTACGCGCTACACACCTGCACCGCGGTGTATCTGGCGCAAAGGCCGTTCCTTGGCGAGATGTGTTGGATCGAGGCAGGGGCTCGTAATCTGTAGAAGTCAGAGAAAGAACGATTCGAAGTTAAGATCAAGTAATTACAATTATATGTGACATAGGAAAAGCACTCAAAAGGCATATCGGTCTATTCAAGCCAAGCCAACTCGGATCGCTGTACAGTGATAGACCAAATCTTAAATTCTACCTCGACGAAATTGGCATTCTCCAAGGCCGTCACGAATCGCTGTAGGCATCTCACATGACTTATACACAACGTGAGAACAAGACTGGAAATAAAAAAAAGACAGATCGGAATGCTTTTTTAGTAAGTCATCGAGTATAGGCGTATTAGTGGTTGAACGATCAAGCCATTAAATACGGGATAGCAATTCTTTATAATGCTTTGTAAGGTACAACTGGTCCGGATGATGTGAATAAATACTAATTGAAGCTCTGATAATTTATCGCGTGTATATAGTCATGCAGCGAAGTTAAGCACGAGAAAGGCATATATGATCATTTTAACTTTTTTACAAGCACACCTGGTCTAGAAAGCGTTTGTATATTCAGGTTGACTTTCTCCAAAATAGAAAAGAACGCTGTGGTGACAATATCTGTGTAACTAATTGGAAACAGCTCGTTATGAAAATGCTTGGTGTCGAAGAGACATCGTTCTTTTTTTGCTTGAGATGCGGACCGAAAATCGACCACGTTACATTTGCTTGGTATGCTTACAATGTAGAAATTTTATCGCTCGTAGCCTTCACAACCAGATATACAGGAAAAAGAAGTTTCAAGATGTTTGTAGGAGATTTCGCATCCTGCACAATCACACGGAGGCTATAGGCTATGTGATACATTCTCGTCAACCGAATCAAAAAGATGTGAAGTAATATATGATCTTTGTAAACAACTATCATTTAAAACCCATTAAGAAATGTCTAGAAATGTTCAAACGG